AGCCACGAGAGCACGGAGGGCGGGACACGGGAGCACGGAGGGCGGGACACGGGAGCAGAGAGGGCAGCCACGGGAGCACAGAGGGCAGCCACGGGAGCGCGGAGGGCAGCCACGGGAGCGCGGGCAACAAGAGCGCGGAGGGCAGGCCACGGGAGCACGGAGGGCAGCCATGAGAGCGTGGAGGGCAGCCACTAGTGCAGAGGGCAGCCATGGGAGCGCGGAGGGCGGGCCACGGGAGCACAGAGGGCAGCCACGGGAGCGCGGAGGGCAGCCACGGGAGCGCGGAGGGCAGCCACGGGAGCGTGGAGGGCAGCCACGGGAGCGTGGAGGGCAGCCATGGGAGCGCGGAGGGCAGCCACGGGCCAGGCCGGGCCGGGCCGTCCCCACCGGAGCCGGCAGAGGCCCATGGCTGGCAGTACCAGGGCTCCCCAGCTGGGGCGCCCTTCTGGACGGTCCAGATCAAGCTTCTAGAAAGCTCTCAGACCAGGTCAGTCTGGAGTGTGCCACTCCCAGTCCTCCCTGGAAAGTTCTAGGAGGCGAGGACCAGGTGCCGCTGTGGTCACCAACGTAGCATAGACATTATTGGTGGTTGCAGAAGGAATGATTTGTTGTCAGCCTGAGAGGGAAGGACACAGACTCGGTTCCAACGCTCAGCCTTCCACAACCTCAGTGGGGACCAAGATGGCCAGGGGAGCGTGGTCCAGGGGGCGGCTGGGCTGAGCAGAGAGCCAGGGCCTGTGCTGCGGGCCCCTCGGGCCCGGCGCCGGCCGGCGGGCAGATCAAGGCTGCTCAGGAGTGTTTCCCGAAGTCAGCTGACCGCAGGATGGAGCCCCGGAGCCCCTGGGGACTGATGTTTTGAAAACTTGTTTTTTTAAGAAAATTCTGAGTTGAGTGCCAGGAAGGGAGCAACTCCCCCTTGGGAACTGCTAGCGGTGACACTGAAAACCCGCAGCCAGCCCTGCTGCCACACGCTTCTCCAGCGAAGCTCTCGGGAACCAAAGATCACCTCCCCGAAGAGCCCCCAATGCCCGACGCTTGCCCCCGCCCCAGTGCGGCCTCTTCCTCTGGGCACAGTCTGGGATGCTGAGTGGAGGAGCCATGGCCTCCTGCAGCTGAGGGAGGGAGGGAGGGGGGAAGGAGGGAAGGAGGGAGGGAGGGCATCCTGGGAGAGATAATTGACTGTGGGAGGAAGCCGTGGTTCTGGCTCCACGCGCTTTGATTTCTGCAGAGCCGAGGATCCCTGTCCCTCCGTCCCTAACGCCTGTTCTACAATCTCCCGTCACGAGTGCGGGCAAGCCGGGGCTGGAAATGAAAAATCCAATTTCCCGAGGCCTCTGTGGCAGGATCTCGCTCGCAGCACCCTCCTCCCGCCAGCCCCTCGTAGGCCTTCCAGCCTCCAGAGGGTCTGCGCTGAGAGATTGCCCGGCCCCCGCCCCCAGCTCGCCCCGCCCCGCTCGGAGCCGGTTCTGACAGCGGGGGGTGTGCTCAGCAAGCTGGAGTTGGCACACCGGCGCCTGGCGTGGGACCGAGGTTTGGGGCACACACTCACTCCTGATGGTGGGGTGCTCGGTGAGTCTGGGTCTGAGAGGCTCCTCAGCCTGAGCTAGCCTTCATCTGGCTGCCTCCTTTTCTCAGACTCCCCAGTAGCTAGGATTGCAGGTGTGAGCCCAGAGGCCCAGCTCCCTCTCCTCTCTTAACCCCTCTCAGCTTCTGCTTCCCCATCTTCCCAGGGGATTCATGGAAGGTTAGATGGGAGCATGAACAGACAAATGGGAAGGGATGGATGAAAGCAACTGGGTGGGGGGGTGGGTGGAATCATGGGTGGACGCATGAATGGATGGATGGATATGTGCATGGATGCATGGGTGCAGGGCTGCATGGGATGAATGGATGGGTGGGTGAATGAGTGGGGGGTGGATGGACAGTTGGGTAGATAGTTGGGTGGGTGGATGGATGGGTGGGTGGATGGATGGGTGGGTGGGTGAAT